ACATTCCAGAATGTGTAAAAATCAAGGACATTGTCAAAACCGTGTATCACACATTATGGAGTGGAAACAAAGATGTCAACCATGATATATCTGTAGCGAATTTTAGACAATTATTTTACACCAAATAATTGAAATTATCTAGAATAAACAATTAACTAGAGATGATCGAACTTAAGATATACGTGAATAAAAAAAAAAAGAAAATTATGAAATTGAACGTTTAGGTGAAAATTTTAAATCATATAAAACTAGTAAATGTGCCTTCGAGAATATATATATATATATATATATGAAAACAAATTGTGAGATTTGATATTTGTAATTTCTATTTAAAATTAGTACGTGAACTATTTTACCAAAGTCATTCCTCTACTTTTTAAATCTCTAAAAGTCTAAATTGAATTCAGCCTCAAGAGTAAAAAAAATAATAAATCATCCACTAATATTTGTAAATTTTCAACATATTGAGACTTCCACCAATGTTAAAGAAAGATTGATGTCTTGGCAGAACTGGAAAAGATCCCATTTTTTACTCAAAAGTGAAAACCCTGGTATTCGTCATTCTACATTCTTCAGTTATATTCAAGAATCTAGACGAAGTATAACTTGTACATATTTCACTTTAGGATTGGTTTGTTTATAGCAGCATGATCAAAACTATTTCTGCTACATTTTGATCATCAGAAGCTTTTCACAGCGCAAAAAAAAATGCATTTTGTGATGCTGTCAATGCCAACAGTCATAAGAAACTGTGATAGAACTTTATATTAAAATTATTTTTTCTACAGATTTTTTAAAACTTATTTTTCTCCAAAATCATTTTTAACTACACATTCAACCAATAAAATAATTTTACGTATAAACCCATAACTTTTCCCTAATTTTTAACCACAAATCCTTCAAAAAAATAATTTATCACAAAATATATTCTCAAAAAATCTACATTAAACAGGTTCTAAAAGTCACCAACAAATAATGCATTTGGTATTATAAAATTAGAACAATAACAGTGTAAAGTAACATGCATTCTAGTTATTTCCCTAACTGATATAAACATCATATTGATGATATGTTTACATTTTTTCTTAAACTTTGATCTGTCAATGGCACAATGTAGATGAGATTAATTGATACTAGACTTTAAATGCAATCACTTGTACAAATGAAACGAGAACCTGTAGCACCAGCTTTATGCATCATGCCTAACCGCAACTGATCTTGCAACCCAATTAGAGTCTCACCTATTTCTCTAGTAAGAAGTCACTTTAGAGAAGCAAGCAACTTCCAACTTTTCGAGCCGTACACAACAGGCTCTAAGAGCAAGCTTGAAACCATTTGCTGATACGTTTACATGGTTGACTAACTTTGCATCCTGAAGAATTGTCAAGTTCCCCATCACCATGGATAGGGGTGACATCTGAAGTATGACAACCGATTAAATTTATCTGCCACGGAGGATTTATATTGTAGGAATATAGTTAGAAACAAAGAATGTTATCGGATCAATTTATGCTGGAAATGAGATTCATTACTAGACTATACCTTTTAATATTGAACTGAGAACATGTTATACCTGTTTTATGCTTTGAGCCTAATCCCATCTGATCTTGCAACCCCTGGCTTTTAGGGTCTCGACTATTTCTCGAGAAAGTAGACGTCTAAGAGGAGCAAGCAATTTCAACTTTTTGAGCTGTGCCGAGCAGGCTCTAAGAGCAAGCTCGAAACCGTTTGCTGTTACATTATTAAGGTTGACTAACTTTGCATCCTGAAGGCATGTCAAGTTCCCCATCAGCATGCATAGGCTGACATCCGATATTTGACAGCCGCTTAAATTTATCTGCCACCATGAATTTATATTTGTAGTAATATATTAAGAAAAAAGAAAGTTACATAGATACAAAGAGATAATATTCAAGTTCTAAATGAATAACAATACCAACAATGATTAATCATATCTCTGTAAACACCCCATCGCCTGCCATTATGTTCCACTGCCATTCCTAATCCCTATACTAATCCACAGCCGAGCCAAAGTGCATGAGGGAGTACACATTAAATAATCAGTGAACAAACAATCTTTTATTACCACCAAAAGTACTCCCAAAACAATCTGCCACACATGTTGAACAGTGACTAGATCATATTACCAAAGGAATCACGAGTTGCAACACCTCTCGAGTTGCTAAGATCACATCCCAAGTGCGATTATTATTACATACGAATAAGCTATGTACTTGGTTTCAGCTTCGATGAGAGGAAAACAGTTCGTTGTAAGTGGGATGTTAGATAAAAATCTTGAGATCATAATGATGGGAGGATGTCTTCTCTGTCTTGATGAAGCAAATCTTAAATGCGTGGGATTTTTAAAAAAATTAAATACGGCAATATAAGCAGCCCTTGAAGTCATCTTAAACATCAATTTCCTACAATCAACCTCTTGTGTTTTTCCATTAGCACACTTGTTTCTATCTGCCTAGTGTCTTTTTGGTTTGACAAGTGTATTGGTTCTCTGTTATGAATTATCCGAATTTGATATCAGTACGTTCAAATCGATCCCTAGGTGTGTTATGCAATTTATAATTACTTGAGTCTTCCAACTTGAGAAACTGACTAGCTTGACCATTGCAAATCCGTCTAATAAAGTAGAAATTATTCAGTAACTACCAAGCTACTTTGGTACAAGAATATTCATCATTTCTATCCCTGAATAAAGAGGAGAGGAGTCATCGCATTGATCTTGGCTCTCCCAAGTATTGAGCAGTTAAAATTTTAAACCAAAATTAGAAAAACAGCTTGGAGTTGATTGACACTCTTTTATCCAAGTTTTTATTTAAAGCATCATAAGTTGGTTCAATAGTAAAGACATTCTGGATAAACCTGGCAGTTCGAAGATTAAATCCCTCGAAAACTGGTTTATTACAGCATCTTTATTAGTCAAATAATTAAATATTGAATAAAAAAATTGCTAAAACGATATAGTTCTTCATTTAGAAAACTTTTGACTCAATTAGAAAGTTTACATGTGCAAATTCACAATGTAAATATAGTACCTGCCGCAAATTTCTGGAGTAATAAGCAAGAGCCCAATATCCGGAATCGTCAATGTTCTCACAATGTTTTAGATCTAATTCTGCAAGTCTCCTGCATCCAGCTGCAAGTGCTCTCAAGCCAGTACACGTAATGTTTGGAAGACCACGCAATTCTAGGTCTGAAAGTTCTTCTACACAGCCTAAATATTCCATCCCTCTATCAGTTACTGCACTGCAGTAAGACAAGATTAGCTTTCTCAATTTTCTGCAACCAACCGACAAAGAAGCTAATCCGTCATCACTGATTCCCAGACACCTGCACGAAAATTATCTGAAGAGTAAACATAAGCATTCCCCATGTACATTGTTAATGGAACTGGAAATTATTCACCTGTACAAATCGAGTTCCCGAATCTTTGGGCAATTCGAAGCAATATATGACAGCCCCTTGTTCGAAATGTTAGTGCATAGTCCAAGTTTCAAGCATACAAGTTCTGAACATTTTGACAAATATCTTAGTCCTGCAGAGGAGAAGAAAGAGAAAAGTGTAAAGAGTTTTAAAAACTAATGTTCGAACACCAGGAATGCCTCTTTACTTCTTCGTCGTGCAAGAAAACTTTCTTAAAGAAGGAAATCGAGTAATGGAACTTCAAAATAATTTTGATAGATATAGTTCTTGAATTGCAAATGATGAATCAGAAAGGTGTTACAAATTACCAATGTCATTAATTCCGGAACAATCTGTAAGATCGATCTCCTCGAGTAAGACACAATGTGATCCAAGATACTCAAGACTCTTCTGACTGAGCAAATTGCAACACTCTAACATCAGACATGAAAGATCTCGACAAGACTCTGCTACGGCTTGTATTGCCGAATCAGTGAGGTCACTGCAGCATGTCAGATTGAATACCTTTAAACTAGCACAGCCAGATACGAGCTGAATAATGCCCATGTCTGAGACACCTCTGCATTTTCCCATCCCAATTTCAACCAAAGCATTGCAATTGAGGCCGATAATTTGGAAGCTAGAGTCAGAAACTCGTGCCCCATCAATTCTAAGTGTGCGCAGCTTCTTGAGGTCCTTAAACTGGTGAAGAAAAGTCACCGGGATCTCCTGGTGAATCGAAATCCATTATTTAGACCTCAGTATTCGAATCAGAGAACTTCGTAAAACCTCATAAATTTAACGTTCGAGAAAATTTTACTCACGAAAAAAGAGTAGCTAGCGTGAAGTTGCAACAAACCACTATGTGCCTTGATTACTGAAACCAATGCAGATGAGCTCAGTTTGTCACACCTTGATATATCTAGTACCTGGGCATCATACAAGAATTATTTCAATAACTTCATTTCCGCAACTTAGTTTACCCATTGACAGGTTCCAATTTAACAAAATCTGAAATTTACTCAAAAGTAATGCAATCACTGAAAAATTAAGAAACTCTCCCAAGTAACTACCCGATACCCCAAATTTGGGATTACAAATTGTTATGAATATGTAAGTTTTCCAGCAGAATCAAGAATATCATCAAGGACCAATTTGACTCAGGAATTCTCGCATCAACAGCATGCAGTTGAAGAAAAATGAGTTTTCAGGAGCATAAAACATGTGTAATTAGCGGAAGCCAAATCATGCACTTAAATAAAAATATCAGTCAATATCAGAGTGAATATTTTTCATCATCAAGCAATACAAAGAGACTAATCACAAAATGAAAAGTGACAGAACAAGGACAAGGACAAATATGAAGAAGGCAGTGATCAAAGCGATTAGAGGAAGCCAAATCATGCACTTAAATAAAAATATCAGTCAATATCAGAGTGAATATTTTTCATCATCGAGCAACGCAAAGAGACTAATCACAAAATGAAAAGTGGCAGAACAAGGACAAGGACAAATATGAAGAAGGCAGTTCAAAGCAGTCAAATGGGATTTGTTTGAATAAGTAAGCTTCAGAACTTTTTGAAACATATAAATAGAATCACAGCGACACCTGATACAATTAAAAAAGAACAATCGAACATCCAATACAAATAAAAAGAATAATCGAATAGTTTAGGAGGATTAATGCGAATAGAAATGAACTTATAAGTCATTACGATAGAAGATATTTTACAATTTCACAAATAAAAGAAGATCCACTAGCTACTTGTAAAGCCAAATATGTGCGTAGAGAAGAATTATGGTTGTGTAGAACATAATAAAACAACAATTCCAAGTTCAAAGAATGTAAACATGTCCATTTCATGTGATAAATTTGGATACAAAAACTCTCAAAAGAACAAACACATGTCATACCATTTGTTATCTGGAAAATTGATGTAAAAGATTGAACGCAGAGAATGTGATTTGAAGAGAGAATTTCACCTCAACAGTTGGAAACAATAAAAGCCAGTGTAAATTGATTGAATGGATATCCGTACTTAGCAAACAAAACATTGTCCAAGAGAATATGACATAAAATTCAATACTCCATCGGTAAACTGTACGTGCTTTTTTGAAAAGATTAGGCTCGGAATTATTGGAAGAATTTCTTATGTCGGGGAGTATATAGAATTAGGATTTCAATTGCGCTCATATACAATTTAGGAATCCAATGTTGTTACTGGTAATTAGGTAATTGCTTCAAAATTTAAGGATGAAAAAACAAAGAATTGGCTCCAAAAAAGAAGATTAAAGTTAAGTAACATTCTTAATACATTTGCAGAATCTTCGGAAATCCATAATTTCGTGGTAAACCAAAATAAGATTTCTATGGTAACCATGAAGTACATCATACAAATTGTAGATAGCATATGTACCATTCATTTATACCGACTACATTTAAGTTGTTCCAAACTAAAACCATTTATAAGTTGCTCTTACAAATGAAAAAGACTGTGTGGAAATAATATTGAAAGAGAAATCTCATTGTTATGTTGGAGATTTGAATAAAATGTTCAAGTTATAAGGGTCTATAAAGATACAGACACTATAATTAATTCATAAATGATTCGGCAATTAAACTGAAAATGGTAGAGATTCAAATAATGAAAATATATTTGCAAAAAGGACTATGCCCATGTGGGAATTAAAATCAGATTTTTAGTAAATTTTAATAAAAATTGATAAAATGTGTGATTGAAAAGTTGTCAAACTCATAAAATATATGGTTAATCAATTATTGACTTTGAATTAAATTAAAATCTAGATTTTAATCAGTACCAAATATGGACTATATTTCCAACACTAGAGATAGGCAAGAAGATCTCGTCCACTCAAACTTTTCACCACGAAAAAAGCCGAATAGGTAATCATAAAAGAAAAGTCTAGAAATTTCAAAAATCTTGCTTTCTAAAGAGAAATATGAGAGATGTCCAATGTTATAGTACTCTATTTGGGTAAGAATCAATAAGTAAAGTTATTACTTTTAAAAGATTTAGACCATGTAAATTTCTTAGAATTGCAGCATACTTATATCAAGAAACTGTCATTAAAATATAATCTAGAATTTTTTAGCAAAAGAATAATGAATCAACTAACTGCATCACCTAAATAGTAATCTATGTGGAGCTGGTTTAAAAGTTGAGAAAGGGAAGTGTAGAATTGCTATTGTATGTACCATGCCGATAAGAAGTAGAATTAAGCATGTTGAGGACAAAGTTTGTGATAGGAATGTAAAATACACATTTTACATCTTTATTTGATGCGCTCATATGGTTATTTTATGCCTAAATGTACTTAGTATTCTCATATTTTGGTTTAGATGGAAATTTGATGGATATGACGTAATTTGGAAGAAATAAGTGAAAATGGACCAAAATGGAAGAAAGTGAAAGTCCAGGGACTGAAGTGCAAATACTCTAAACTTGCTTCTGACCTCGTGATGAAGATTCGAGAGTGTTAAAGGTCAATTGGATGAAAAAAGGAGTCAAAGAGATGAGATATAGCCAAAACATTATCACATATCAACTTTCAAGCTGAAAAGTTTTACACTGGTTTTCAGCCTCATATTGAGACCCATTTTTTTGATATGGTAAAAGATCGAATTGGAAGATGATATTTGAATCAAAGTTGTAGCCCTTTAAGTTATATTTCCAACGCATCTTAAATCACTTCAATCGGATATTGAAAAAGAAAGTTATGATCAAAATACTAAAAACTAGTCGGCAGGAAAACGTCATAACCATGTGGTCGCATGATGTTAAACCTATGCGATCGCATGGGCATTTTCAGAGAATTCAAGGAAGCAAAATTTTGTTCCTTGCGACCGCAAGGGATATAACCTTGTGATCGCATGGTTGTTCCGTGATGCCGAATCTCAAGTTTCCTAAATTGACTCAAACTCCTTTGGTAACATACCTTTCACGACTTTTCAACCTTAAAAACACCCCCAAAACACACCAAAACACCTCCAACCTATTTTCTCTCTATTTTTCTTAGATCTATCATGTGTAACTAAACTTCTACGCTTGGT